CGGCGCAGCTCGATTACGCCTCCTGCATCCCCGAGCCCGTACTTTTGCTCCGAGCTCCTTCCATATGTCACAGGGATTCATTCTGGACACTTGATCCGGCAGCCCACTCAAGAAAACGTTAGGCAACGCTTGGTTGAATAAGTTCAACAGCTCGGACCGAGCCCTAGTCCAGTGTTGGTGGCGCCAACGCTTGGCCTTCGCCTCCTCTTGAGAAATATTCCCCTCCACCGAAATGATGGGTTTCTCAGGCGTACCCTCAAGGAAGTCCATCATGATAACCGTAGCCTCAGGTTGGTCCTTTTCCAACAACCCTCGCTGGTATTTCTCATCCAGCGTCTCTATGTGCGTTAGCACCTTGTCTCGCCACATGGTGTAGTCCTCCCCATGGAACTTTTCCAGTCCCAGGACCTGGGCACTCCTATTGTGTCCTTTAACCATGGGCCTTAGTCTCCGTACGTATCTGAAATATTAAGCTCTATGTAATAGGCCGTCAGTTTCAAAGTGAGGAGGCCTTTTAAAGCGGGCGCGCCACGCGTCCTCCTCGCCATTAACATCCCTCGGCAATGTGTTTACTTATTAAGTTTCCTTAAGAAGTAGGATGTTTGAACCTTTTCTATTGGCTACATATTTGACCAATTAAGGTGCATTCTAACAGCTTGAACCCGCGACAACCCTGCTCCCCAATGGGGCTGTCTTAAGTTAAGACTCCTAACCACCTGAGCTGTCAGCGCTTACCTAAAATACAACGCCATCGACTACAACGCCGTAATTCTCATAGACCGCGATCTTTAATGATAGTAGACGGCGTATTATTCCGAATGACTACAGTAGTAAGCGTTTGTTTTTTTCTTAAATTGATATTTAAATTCAACGGTACTGTACATGTAGTAGCAGAAGTACTTAAAATTAAATACTATTGTGCTTTGCAGATGGAATTTTGTAGCCTGAAAAGGACAAAAGCATTGAAATGCACAATAAGCGTCCCGCGGCGGGACCCGCCGTATCGGTTTTCAGAGACTCGGTCTGACTTCCAGTTGTAGACGTCAAGAATTCTCCGAGTTGAACCTCTTGGGTGCCGAACGTCATGGGATGCGTGGACTGGCTGGCGAAATGCGTGAGTGCGCTGCTGCTGATCTCCATCAACGTTTTCTTGGCGCTCGGTGCCGGCTTGGTGCTTTATGTGGCGGTTTTCGTGCGTCACACGGGCTGGGTGGAAGTCATCCAGGCTTATTGGTCTCCTATCAACGGGCTCGCTACAACGCTCATCTGTGTGGCCGGTGTAGTCATGGCCATGGCGGCACTCGGTACTATAGCCACACTGTGTCGCTGGAGAGCGGGGCTCTGCTACTATATGATCTTCGTGATACTCGTGCTGGTGCTGTTCGCCCTCATTACCGTCTGCTCCTTCCTGCTTTGGAGCATGTTTTCTGGCTGGGAGGATGAGACATACCCGGCCAGCAGCAGCGAGTCAGACATCAAGGTCGACTTTGATCAGGTCTACTGTTACGCCCAGGGCGTGTATATCTGCAACGAAGGCTCGGCCTCCGACGCTCTGACCATGTTCGCACCCGACCTGAATTCGACCATCACCGACGTGTTTGCGAATGTCAGTGGCGGCGTCAACATACTTTGCGATGAATACTTGAAAGATTACGATGAGCTCGCAGACGTGTGCAACGGATGTGATAAAGCACGCGAGTTCAAACACTTCTCGTCCGTACTTGAGTGGTCTAGGGAGTGCGAACCAGATGCGAAAACTTTGGCGTGGTGTGGGAATTGGTTTCTCGACGGGAGTGCAGCGAACACGACAGGGACAACAGCACCTTACACACACTGCCGAGAGGCGTTTCTCGATCTTGTCAGCAACTACTCGTTATACCTTGCAATTGGAAGTGTCATCGTCGTTATCGGCTCAGTTGCTGTTATTATCATGTCGTGTTATTTGCGGCGTCGCGACATGTACATGAACGACGTCTATGAGGCGTTCTAGGCAGATAGAAGAATGGGAATTATTGTGCAGAAGTAAATGTGTGGTTTTGCTGCGGCCGCGGCACATGACTCAAGGAGCCATGAAGCGGCCTAGATTTGCTGAACTTAATTACTAGCCAAATTTTGAATTGCATCCCCACGACGGGTGGGGCCATACTACTGAAACGGTGGTTGCGTTGGTGGCTGCTGAAGTGTTGATGGATGGATTGTTGTCACCCTAGAAAAGGTGCCTTGCTGGCCATACGGCACTTTGCCTTTATCTGCCGAGCGCGCACACCAGAAACGGCCAGTCGTCGACAAGATGGGGCGCTGTTCCTGTCTGACTAAGTGCGTTAGCGAAGTGATCTTGATCGCGATCAACTGTATACTAGCACTGGGCGGCGCGCTAGTGCTTTACGTCGGGATATACTTAAGGCATACGGGCTGGGTGGACGTGATCGAGGGCTATTGGTCTCCGATTGACAGCATCGTGACTGCACTGATCGTCATTGGTGCTGTCATCATTGGGTTGGCATTGTGGGGATCAGTTGCGGCATTATGTCGCTGGCGCTTCGGACTGTGCATCTACGCGAGTGTGATGCTTCTCGTCTTCATTTTGTTTGTGATAGTGGCCGTGTCAGCTTTCCTGCTACGACATCGTGCCAACGACTGGGAAGACTCGACGTATCCGGCCAGTAGTGATGAGGAATCCGTTAAAGAAAAGTTCGATCAAGCGTACTGTTATGCGCAAGGCGAGTTCATCTGCAACCAGGCTTCAATCTCAGACGCGCTCACGATGTTTATCCCCACACTCGACTCGTCCGTTGCTTCGGTCTTTGAGAACATGACTGGGGGAGTCAACACCCTCTGTGACGAGTACTTGAGCGACTACGATGTGCTCTCGAGCGTGTGTGACGGCTGCGAGCAAGCGCGACAGTTCAAGGACTTTTCATCGGTGGTCGACTGGGCGAACGACAAATGCCCTAGATCTGCCGATACAATAATATGGTGTGGAGTTTTCCTCGGCACCGGAGACACCAACAGCTCGTCCGGTACGGCTCCTTATTCCGAATGCCGCACAGAGTTTCTGAACCTCGTGGAGAAGTACACGCTTTGGCTCGGCGTTGGAAGCATCATCGTGTGCGCCGGGTCTCTCATGGTGATCACCTTCGCTTGTATCTTGCGGCGACGCGATCGGCGCCCCGCCTCGCCAGAAATGCATTCGGCATATGGACGTTTCTAGGTTGTAACCAAGCGAAGGCAACACCGGCTGTCGCTGCCTGCATCGACACCAACGCCACTAGATAAATGGTATCCCGGATATCAGCGCATGTAGATGGTTACATGTAGCCAGGTGCACCTGGCATGTTGCCACCATGATTGTCGAAGGCTTCGACTCGGAAGCCAACTCGGGAACGCGAGCCGATCACTTTCCTGAAAATCCGCTGAAATTTTCGCGTCTCTCCTTTTTATAATTAATATCGTACTTATAAGAGTGAATTCGAAACAGTTTGCTTTGGTTGGAGTGGGATGGAAATCCTGCAGCAATTAGTACTAGATCAGCGAGATAATTGTCGCGTAAGTCACAGTCTCTATCGAGCAGCTCATGTTGGCCATTCTTCAATTTGCGCTGACCTGCGACTATCCATATTGCAGCCATGGGTTTTTGTTCATGCTTGGGGAAATGCGCCACTCAGCTCATCTTGATTGCCATTAACTTCGTGTTGGCACTCGGAGGCGCCTTGGTGCTGTATGTGGGTATCTACATGCTCCACGCTGGCTGGGTGGATGTCATTCAGGGCTACTGGTCAAATATCGACGACGTAGTGACGGCCCTCATTGTGATCGGAGGTGTGATCATCGGTCTCGCAGTATTAGGGACCCTAGCAGCACTCTGTCGCTGGAGATTCGGTCTCTGCACGTACGCTATCGTGGTGCTGCTGTTCCTGATCCTGTTTGTGGTCGTGGGTACCGCCGCCTTCATCCTTATGGCCAAGGCTGGCGATTGGAGTGACAAGCAATACCCTGCCGAGAAAACTGAAGAGACCATAAAGACTGACTTCGACCAGGTCTACTGCTACGCACAAGGCGAGTATATCTGCAACGAGGCGTCGGTCGAGGAAGCGCTGGCCATGTTCGCTCCTGAACTCGACACCGCAATTGTGGCACTGTTTGGGAACGTGACCGGCGGCGTGAACACGCTGTGTGACGAGTACCGCAGCAACTACAGCCAACTTGAGAGCCTCTGCGATGGATGCGACACTGCACGCGAGTTCGAGAACTACACAAGGGTCTTCGATTGGGCGGACAGTCAATGTCCAAGAACCAACGATACTCTCGTTTATTGTGGAGAGTTCCTGGCGACGGGGTCATTATCGAACATCACTGCTGGCACAGCGCCTTATACGCAATGTCGAGCCGAGTTTTTGGACCTCGTGGAAGACTACTCACTTTATATGGGCATCGGCAGCATGCTCATCTGTCTCGGAGCCCTAATGATCATCATCTTTACCTTCTGTCTGCGTCGGCGAGACCTGCTTGGCCGCAATCATGTTGACCTGGAAGATGATCCGGTCACCCCATCGATGGAGTACCCTCGATACGAATACACTAAGGCGTAGACCTTATTAAATATCGTCAAGAACTGATCATTTGTACGATAAAACACGCATTTTAATTCATCGCCTGGCATTCGTAGCGAGATCATCACTTTGTGCGTCGCGCGCTAACAGTGGTACAGTACGTAGCTGACCTTGACTGGAGTTGCACCACGAAGTCGGATTGCAATTCGACAGTTCAAACCGCTTCTTTACTGTATCTCGTTGAGCAAGGCGCGAAAAAAGACCTACAGCAATGCTACAATAGCTAATATGCTGGGTTCGCAATTCACGGGTTCGTCGTGACAATAATTAATAATGTACAAATTGTAGCATGCCACTACAGTAGTTCGTTCGTACTATTGTGCATGTATCTCTTCGAGTGCATGGACGACAGATGAATCATCCATGGTGGCAATGAAAGATGGTCTTCTGTAGTTATTTTCTGTTTTTATACTCCGTATGATTCATTCTATCTACGGGATTTCACTCTGCATCGAAAAAATTCGATGAGGGGGTGGCGAGCATTTTTTTAGTTGTGAGTGCAGAGTGCTTCGACGCAGGGTAACTAGAATTTGTGCCTTTATTTGATCAAAGTATTTCCGTTAAAGCGAGAAGTAGATCTGACATTGGCACGGTACCTGGACCAGAGCAACCACATCCTTGTTATTACACTTCTCCGGTTGCATAAGAGTTTAAGCCGTGCTCTTACCAGTGCAATGCTGATCGTACATGCCAAACAAAGCTGTAATCTGTTACCGACATTCGAAACCTACATGTTAGCTTTTTCACGTATCCTTCAACTATCCCCTTACCTGGTCGTCGGTAAAGACGCATCCAAGATCTCTTAATGCTTCCTTCAGTTGTGACTTTGTCATAAATCCATGGTCTACATAGTTGAAGTCGACAACAATGCAGACGCGGATAGTTAGGTTTCGCCATCATATCATTCACGGAATACTAGGATGCACAGAATACTGTGCAAACGTACTGGTTCGTTCGTGCTTCTCAAAACTCCGTCTCACGGCTTGCAGGAGCTCTGTTCGCGACATGTACCGTTGCCATATTGTTTGTCCAGCTGAGTTCCATAGCGAAAGTGCTGCCTGTTCTCCTCCAACACGATAGAAAGCGTGTTGATACTTTGCGTGAAGGACTGACTCGGAAGGTGTTTCAACCTTCCTTGCTCGGTTGGTATGCTCTTGCAGTTCCTGGACCTGGTTGCTGGAAGGATGCACAGGATGAACCCGATCTCCACGTTGGCTGGACTGGTCCTGATTCCGTTGATATCGACGGTTATGGTCGGGATCTCGCTTACTGAGGTTCGCTCCTTGTCGAAGATCGGGGGGCGAGGCAAAGTTGCCGTAACCACTAGCATCATCAAACTTGCCATATCCAGATCGAGGAGACATTCCTCCCGGAGGGGCAGCAAAGGCTCCATATCCACTTGCATTGTCAAAGGCTCCATAACCTGAACGGGGCGACATATTCACCTTCGCTGGCGGAGAAGCAAACGCACCATAACCACTTGCATTGTCAAAAGCTCCATAACCTGAGCGTGGCGACATATTCACCTTTGCTGGTGGTGCAGCGAAGGCTCCATAGCCACTGGCATTGTCAAAAGCGCCATAACCTGAACGTGGCGATATATTCGCCTTTGATGGTGGTGCAGCGAAGGCTCCATAACCACTGGCATTGTCATAACCTGAACGTGGCGACATACCGGCTTTGATAATTGGCTGGTGAGTTGAATCTTCAGCAAAGCGAACTTGTCGTGGCTGGTTAATTGGGGCGCGAGCTTTCGCTCCCGAGCGTGGTAAACTTCGTTCTGGGGCCCGTGACGCGACGGTGAGACCTTGAGTAAATGTTGTACCGACCCGGTCTTCATTATTACGAAGATGACCTCTATATCCCAGAATCGGCGGGTTTCTCTTCTTCGGCACGACATCCGATTCATCGTCTACAGACGTATACGGGACGCAGCCGGTGTAAGCGTGTTCAGGTCGAGTCACTTTTTTCATGGCACGACGCTCTTGAACACTCGCAAATGGACTCGACGCTGCAGCGCCAGCGCCACTCCAAAGCCTTGACGTCATAATTGGGGCGTCGATCGATTGTCATGAATCTGTCAAAGGAGTTGTGACTCGCTTGTTTCCTGTATAAATAGGGAAAGTAGCAACTTCGCATGGAGCAAAACGCGATGCAGCAATAGAGAACAAGGAGAAGAGTTAAGCGCCTTCTTACTTAGCTACTTTTGAAGTATTGTGTTTATGCAGTTGTTTAATGCAAATTTCAAGGTGCGGGGATGCTAACGTATCGACCTTCACGCTAATGCTGGCACTAGCAGCCATACTCGTCTCCTGATCTTTTACTCACAAGCAAGTTTCGAGTCGAAGCTGCTGAGTGTGATAGCGAAGGCCTGGAGGGGACATAGTGGCCATCTAAAATCCATCGTGAAGAGATCTTTGCCGACTCGACCAAACTGAAGCACGACCGTCTCTTGATCCTCCGGAGTCACAAGCTGGAAGTTCTTGACAGAAGCCATGGTCACGCGGCCATTGAAGTTGAGTACATAGGCGCATACTTGGTCGTTCCAGCGCGGAGGCTTGTTAATAAGGTACGTGAGGTTCGTGTGGTCTTGCTCTTTGCACTTGTTGACCATCTCATCCTCCTTAGTTAATGGTCTCCAGACCACGCGGGTCCCGTCCTCCCGCACACGCGGGACACAAACCTTCATCTTTCGTGGACCACGATGACCCAAAACGTTGGCGGCGTACATTGCAATACCCAACTCCTGACGAATACCCGCAGGGTTGCTTGTGATGGTCTGTTGATCAACATCTTTCGGGTTGGAGCCGTTATCGTAGATCGTGAACTCGGTACCCAAGAAGTTGGCACGAAGCTTGCCCACGTAGTTGTCACTGCCACGACGTAGTAAATCTCCACGCTGGAGGGAGATGAGGTAGTTACTGGTGCGGTTCTTGGGGCGTTTTTTTGCCGTGAGCAAGAAGCGGTCGCCTTCCTTCATGTACAAACAGTACTCAGGGAACATCTTGTTGGCGCCAGACTTGTTGCGTTCAATGTAGCACTCAACCACGTCGTATGCTTTAGGAATGGGGCGCAAGGTGAAGGCTCGCATGTCTGTAATGTCAAGTTTCGGCTTGCGTGCATTAGCGGCGGCAGCTCGGCCTTTGTCACCGTCACGCGATGGGGAAGTAGGTGCATTCCGGTTGCGATCATCTTCCGAAGAAGCATCCGATGCCGATCTGGACTGAGATCGCGAGCGAGATCTCGAGCGTGAACGCGAGCGAGAGTGTGAACGTCCACGCGTATTCACCTGAAGCATACCAGTATTAAAACACACTTTAATGTTTGAGGTGAACTAAACGCCTTAAGACTTACGGTGCGTACGAACCCCCCACGGCTATTGGAGGTACCACGGCGATCATCGTCATCGTCGCGCCCACCACGTCCACTGTGATAAAAGTAACAGGCGTTAAATTGAGTATCAACGCCTTCCGACACCTTTGACATGGCGCAAACCTGCTGCCTGATCCACGGCTGGAACGCTTAGACGACGGTTCGTCATAGTCCTTGCCACGACGATCTCCGCTGCGAGCGCCTTTGGGGGTCCGCGACCGATCACGATCTGAATCATCACTGTCGCTGCGACGGTCCCGTGCCCGACCTCGGTCACGAGAGTAGCTGCGATCCCCTCGGCCACCTCGGTCGCGGCTACTGCCGCCACGATCACGATCAAAGTCTCTGTCATAGCTTCGGTCGCGAGCCCGGTCTCGGTCCCAACCACCGGGGCGACTCGAGCGTCGGTCGTCGTCGTCGTCGTCATCATCATTGCGGCTACGGCGTGAATACGATTGACCTCCAGAGCTGCCGCGACTGCTTACGTTTTGCCGCGACGAACCAGACCGACGCCCAGACCCGCGTGACGAGTCATCGTCTAGCTCATCGTCGTCTCGACCAAAGCGTCTGGTAGAATCATCACAGCAAAAGTGTCAAAACACTATATTGAGCAGTAATTAGCAGCAGACATACGAAGGCCTTTCATCGACATCCATTGACCGCGGAGCTGAGTATTGCCTGGGAAGTGACGTGCGTACAACACCTGCATCACGTAAATGCTGTTAAAGGTCTAACAAACACAGTACTACAAACCGCCATTACCGTACCCCCTCCCATGCGCTCCTGAAGTTTTTTCTTCTGCAGTTCTCGCTGCTGTTGGATGACGCTGGAGCGGGCACCGGAAAGGTAGTCCGCCCCTCCGAGTTCGCCATCGAGGTCATCGTCTTTGAGGGAGTTCGGGTGAGCAGACATTCCACCGCTCCCGGTTCTGCAGTCGTCTAAGGTGAGCACCTCCACCGCGTTCGACACGTCGTCATCACGGCCTCCCTTCCGCCCCCTTGATCCTCCACGAGAGGGGGCGTCGTCATCGAACGACGAGCCGTTCATGAACATTGCTTCTCAAGACCTACGTCTCTGCTCGAACTCGTTTGCTAGAGGCGAAAACCTCAACTAGCTGCGACTTGGCGGAAGTCACCGGTGAATGCAACCGCCCTCCTGAAGCCTCCCAACCTCACCACACTATTCTTGGCGCCAGCATTTCAACGTCAAAACCCTCTTCAACTTGAGCAGTGAAAGAGTTAAGTATCTATCATTCTTAAAAATGTTTATGCTTTCTGATAGGTTAACTATCAAAACCGGTATCATACCGTTTGAAGGAGCTCTACCGTCGAGTCAAAAATCAAGAAATCCGCATCATGTACTCACGTGAGAAGCTGGAGCGGCTGCTACGGCAGGCCAAGGTGACGACGCAGAGCATCCAAAAGGTGTCGCAATGGATGCTCAATCACCGCCAGCATCTGCCTGAGATGGTGACGCTTTGGAGAGACCTCATCCGCGAGGGAGACGCCGAGCACCAGATCGTTTACCTCTACGTCGCCAACGACGCGATGCAGGTGGGCGTACGCAAGTTTGGACGCCACATCGCTGCAGCCTTTGAAAAGGAACTCGTGGACATTGTGCAGCTGGTTATGCGAGATGGCGAGGAGAAGGTCAAGCGCTGCGCTCTTAAGATCGTGGGCATCTGGAAGGAACGCGGGGTCGTTACGCCACCTCTGTTGGCCATGCTAGAGAATGTTTGTGCTGGCAAACCCCCAGTGTACGTGGCGATAGAGATGGAAAAGAGTAATATAAAGTGTAATAATTGTTTGTTTTGCGTGCAGAGAGGAGGTCCCGGAGTCCGACGGGAAGGAGGAAGAGAGGAAAGCCAAGTTGTTGCAGGAGATGACCAGTGACGCAACGGTGGAGCGTGTGCTGGAAGATATGCCAGAGGTAGTGGAGTCTAGTGTCACTTCGCAGATGGCTACACACCTGCAGGAGCTAGTGAACGCAACTATCAGCTCCGATATGCTCAGTGACAGGATGTTCCAGTTGGAGTCGAGCATTAGTGTGTTCCACCATGCGTGTGGAGAACAGGACGAAGAAGATGAGGTTGTTGTGGGAGAAGAGGGCGACAGGACTTTCCCTTCTACGGGAGGCATCGCGTGGAGCAAGATGGACCAGCAAGTGTACGACCTGGACGTCGACAACAGTCGTCAACATGTCGACCAATATCGCAAGAATCTCATGGATCAGGCTACAAAGCGTGATGTGCTGATTAAGGAGCTACGAGGGCTGGAGACAAGAGATTTGTTTTCCTTTCCCCCAGACTCGACGACGCAGGAAGAGGCAACTTATCAAGAACGGGCGTTAGAGAAACTTTACTCTATTGCCTGTGAAGCCGAGACTCTGGAGCTAAAACAGGTGGAGGAACAACGTGCTGAGTTCCGTGCGAGACAAGAATCGCTGGCCGCTTCTGCTTCAGATCCGTTGTACTCTGCGTACCAACCAGCCGGGGAGCCCTATCGACCAATCACCCCGACGCCTTCAAGCCGTGGACGAAGCGAAAGTGGCAACAGCCACCTGGGGTATCGTCGATCATCTTACGAGTATGACCAACCACACCAGAGATCGCTTCGTCGCCACAGCAGCGCTTCCGCAGTCACGGACCGGGGCTTAATGGATGACCGACACAATGATCACCACCGATACGGTGGACACAATGATCGGTACGGCGGATCGAACGGCCGATACGGTGTGGACTCGCCGTCTACCAGCAAGCGCCCGAAGCTGCACCACTCGCACAGTATGGAGTCACAGAATGTGCAGTGGCAGGAAGCTTCTCGTCACTCTCCTCGAAGTGGAATCCATTCGAACTCGTACGCTGCTGTGGAGAGGGAGCAACCGGCTTACTCGCCGCGAGAGAACCGATTTTCACCAAGAGATCACTACCAGGCACCACCGCCGCGTCAAGGACGCCGTAGCCGATGGGACTCAATGCCTGAGGAGCGCTACAACAATCACTATGATGACCGGCGATGGTGAAGTCGACCTTATCGTCCTTCCTAACAATATTATTAGTATCAGTATTGCCGTCAGGCCGGCAAGCGCTGCGTAGCGCGAAGTGTAGCAAACCCAACAAAGCTAAAGCTTGACCTTGTAGGCTACGCCGCTGCTTGCCTTGCGAGTGCAATACTATAGTACTACTTTCTTGATATTAGGTTGGAGTGACGACACTGGAGATACTGCTACACGAGACAAACAGCCATCGAGGTGAGCTACAGCACTTCGTACTACTTCTAGTAGGATCCTAATCAAATCAAATATTTCGTGTTTCTGGTTGATGCAAGCTCTGCAGACGTCGCCACGTTAAAGCTCCACAATATCTCCCTCCACCTCGACCAGTTCTTGTCGAGGTGGCGGGAGAGCTGCACGCACTGGCATTGACCGTGCAAGCATCGGCTGCTCTTGCTCTTTACCAGAACTGTTCGAGCTGGACGACAGCTCCAACGACGAGAATGGCTCCTCCTTTTGTGTCTGCACAGGCGACTTTGGCCGCTCTTTGCTACCCGATTCCTGTGCCAATTTCTCCTCTTTCACCGTCTCCACTGCTAGCAATTTCAGTTCTTTAGCCTTTGAATCTGCATGCTCCTGCGTCCGGGAAGCATCGGGTTTCTCTTCCGCTTCGTCTTCAGAAACTTCGCTGTCATCGAGCTGCTGTAGACTTGACGATAGCCCACTGGCATCACTGATGGTCGAGGAATGACGAGGAGAATTCACAACACCTTTGCCTGCGGCGATCAATCTGCCAACTGGCGCCTCGCGAGCCTCTTCTTGACGACGTGTAGCCTCGTTATCATCTTGTCCACCGCGCTTGCTTCCGAAGAACCCCATAAACGAGCTCGAGATGGACGACGCTAGGCGGTTCATGTGGAAATTCGTCACTTCACCGACCGAAGGCGACGCAAAATATGTATGGCAGGATCCACAGCGCAGACAAGCAGTAGCAGGTGGCACGTAACACACCACGAAGCATCCAGGACACTTGACGTGGATGTTGACGCCCATATCTCGCGCCAAAAAGTTGGTACTATCTCTCAAGTCTGTGCCGATCTTGTCTAGTGTAGACCGGATCGTGTAGTCGCACTGCACGCACGTAAGGTTGCCTCCGTCATTTAAGAATCCACATCGAGAGCAGAAAATCTGCGCCGGGGCTGCAGTCGTCACCAACGAGTAGAAGGGAACATGACACTGCGAGCATTCCTTGGACGCCCGTCGGTTCACTGTGTCGCTATGGCAACATCAATATTAGTCAACTAACTTAAGATATCACGAACATCTTCACTCTCACCATACACCACAATTCCAACTGCCGTCCGCTTGCACATCGTGTGTTGGCGGCTTCATCTCCGCCCTGCATCCCCGCAATTATATTATTAATCCTTGCAGTAATTAGAATTACACAGCACAAAGCCTCCACGCACCCGCACATTCCACAGGACGAGACGTCAGACGCATTCAGGAACGTGCTGCGTTGACAGAAGCGCCATGACAATCAGAATTTTCAGTACAATATTAAAACGCACCAACTTTTTTAGCAGTGTGGCGGCCTCTTACCACGTGCTGCAGGCAATCTGAATGCCCTTCCCGCCCGCCACCGTCTTGTTCTCAAGGGCACTGTCAGAATGTCACCGTCAGAGACTCAGCGCTCGACAAAAAGAAGGCAAAAACGTCGACGTACACGCACTGACTGCTCTCCATCCTGCCTGGTTCTTCTCTTCTGAGTTCAACAGTTGGAATGTCATTATAGTAACTCGTTTCAGTGACTTCAACTTTTCTTCAACATGCGCGACCTTTAAGTATCCGCCATGCCGCCCAAGAAGCCGCCGTCCAAGCTGACAGCGCAGGGATCGACGCTGAACCTGCCACCCACAGCGAACAACTACCGCCAGCCACTGCCAGCGCCGATATTGCCGCCGTCAGACTCAATCCCACCGCTTTGGAGACCGAATGCTGTTCCAACCGAGGTTTTTCCTGAATGGACGGACCCTACAGCTCTGCGTACGTTCACTATCAGCTAAAATAATGTGATTTAGATGGCAACATGACAAGTAATGCCACATTTACACAGCTGCGGATCATTGGGGGACTGCAGAACAGCCTTTTGAAGACTCTTTGACACCAGAAAACCTGCTTTTGCCGAAGGAGGTGCGTCATACATGCAGAGCTTCTTAGCTGCTACTTTGAAGTAATAAAGTCTTACTTCACTGTGCCTAGGTGAAAGAGCTCAGCGATTCCATTATGTGGAAGCGTCCGTCTCAGTTTCTGCCGGTCATCGTTGATCCTGTGATTCCTGCGACTCCACCGCCACCAACACCCGAGCCAAAAGCTGCCGGAAAGAAAGGAGCCGCTTCAGCTGCAAGGAAAGGAGAACCAGAGCCACCGAAAAGGCCTCCCCCGCCTCAACATGCTCACGTAAGGTGTTACTAGCGGAAATTTTCTCCATGTCGCTTAATAACTGTAGACACACTTGTGTTGTTAAGGTATTTATCCTGAAGAGTGAAAGGGTGGGCATAACAACCAGCTCTTCTACTCTACCATCAACAACAGAGCATCATCACAACCACACACTACATATCCCTCGAGATTTCCAACGACGGTGGAGCGCTGAGCAGATTGAAACTCTTCAGGCTTGGGCCAAAGAGGAGGAACGCATTGTACTTGAGCAACGACACCGTGAACGTATGTACATGGGATTCGAAGATGCCATCGCGTATATCGTCAACGAGCGACCTCGAGATCTCCTGGCAGAAGTGGATTTTGATGCAGACGACTTGGTGGACGACGGCCAAGACGAAGACGACGCCCTTACAATAAACATGGATGTGAGCAATGCGACGTCGCCGTGGGGGGTAATGCCTCCTCCAAGGATCGAGATTGCTCCGAACGCAGTATACAAACCCGGAATTCCTCATGGAGATATAATTCACGCTAACATGGCGTCGTACTTCCGCATTGTGGAGCAGTTGTACAGCTCACGCCAAGACAACAACAGCAATATGGCGCCGTTTCTGTGGCAAGCTATCTACCCTCAAGATAACAGCGGGAAGCCAGTGTACAATCCGGGTGGGAAGTACTGCGTCAAGTTGTATGTCTTAGGAAGGTGGCGTCGCGTTGATGTCGACGATAAGCTACCGATAGACGCCGATGGGAACGTTATCTATCTGTCTAGCTCGGTGAAAAGTGAGATCTGGCCGTGCTTGTTAGTGAAGGCTCTGTGTAAAGTGGCGTACTGGTTACATCCACAGTCTCCTGAACCCGAAGCGAAGCATCAAAGAAGCGCCGATGGAATGTGTCAAAACGTGGTTCAGATCTTGTTAGCGCTCACCAGCTGGAAAGTCTCTCGGTGGGAGCCGAAAGCGAGTTTCGGTGCTAGTGAGAACGTCTTCCACCAGTTACTCCAGGTAAGCACAAGCGTGATATGACTGCTTTCCCGTGATACATTTCATTTACTTGTAGCAACATCCTTTTCTCATTTGTAGTTTGTACCAAGTTCTCAGCGAATTGAAGAAAATACCGAGGCGATCGCAGGAAGCGAGGCGCCTGCAACAGTGACCGAGACTCTGGACAAACCCACGACAGTAAACTCCCCCGTGGTAAGCGATTGGGATCTGTTACTATTGAAGTAGTCCTCCATTGACGTCTTCGCATTGTAGCCTCAAGCTGTGATTTGTTGCGCAGGCGTCAATCAAGTTGCCGACATGGTTTTCGGTGAAGTGGTTCTGGTGACTGATGTTGTTGGCGACACTGGCAACACCACGTTCAAAGTAGTTCGACAAGGCTCTCCAGCGACCATTTCCGAGGAAACGAACGGTGTCAACGAGCTCGTGTTTCTGCTGGTTCACCCAGTCCTTCAATACTCCGACACATTTATCCGCGGATGGCTTCCAAATCCAGAGCCTGTCGTCGAAGGTGTCGAAGAAGCACGTGCAGAACTCGTGCCGTTTGAAACTCCACGTGTACAATTCGTGGTGATATCAAGGCACGATGCCGCACCTGACCAGTCTCCAGGAGATAGTTTAAGTGATACGGCTGTAAATCTCGTTGCCTCTTTAACTTCCGTTCAGCCACCCGAGCAAGAGCTGTATAACCTCAACAAGTCGTCAGCAGTAATATCCACTCATCTCGGTGTCGATCCGAGTGGTAGCTTGATTCTGATTGAAGAGATGGACAAGAAAGCATCCTCGACGTCTTCATTACCTGCGATCCTGACACTGAACTCAACATACTCGGAGTTTATCAGAGTTTCTCCGGTGGATAAAGGAAACATCGTGTATCGCGTCTACCCACAAAAATCGCTGCGGTATGGCTACAGCATTCATGTCGAGTCGAGCCACAAAGTTGCGTTTCAAGATGCTCCGACGTACTGGCGCAGTTTGTCCAACCTCCACGTGATCGAATGCGACGGAGTACACCCAGTCATGTTGCCAGGTACTTGGAACATTTTGTTCAAACAAAGCTTTGAACTTGTTCCGTCGACCCAAGGAGACGAACGATCGAAATCGGCACCGGAACTGAGAATTGATCTCCATCTAGTGGAGGAATTGCTCGCAAACTTCACGCATATTTCCATCGTGAACGATGCCACAGGCGAAGTCAAGAGGGCCGGCACACTTTGCTCCAAGATCACACTTCCTGTTGCTGCAAGTGATGCTCCGATTGCTTACACGTTGGTAGTCGACTGTGCCCCTGGCAACTTCTACGTCCGGGAAGGGAAATGGAAACTTACACTTGCGAGTGACTGGGAATTCTCCAAGTCAACAACGCACCAGATGAAATTGACGCAGTACGAGGGAGTTTACGAGCCGAACAAACCGTTGCTGTGCTTCCGAGATGTGATCATGGCACCGAAGACGTCAATCTGGACGAGTTTTCACTTCCAACTCTTACGCGACGGAGCTGTCGAGAGCGCTCTCGCTGCCAAGCTGGAGGTCTACGATCTTGGTAGTAATTCCGCCCGAATCGGTGAGAAAAACTTCAAGGGGGAAGTTCGTTTGTTGCAGCTCCCGTGTGTAACTACAGCTGACGGTAATCCACCTTCCGAGGATAAGCGAGGCTACATCATCCAAGGCAGCATCGACAGAGCCACCTGCATCGTACCAGACGAGGTGCAATCTCGTCGTCCATGCCGCAGTCACTCGAATCGTCCATTAAATGACCTGACAACCACGTCGGTGGAGGGAAACTCTGATGTGCCACCACCTGGTTCTGCGCGCTCATCTCGTGCTCATTGCGACATCAAATGGCGACTCACTTGCTGGAGCTCGGAGGACGTAAAGTTACAGGAAGACAACACAAAAGAGCTGCAATTCGAAGCCATTCGAGCGTCGTGGGCCGAAAAGGCTGTCGATCGCAACACTAATGGCGCCGTGTCAAGGCTGCTGTACCTGGGTAAAGTGCATGAAGCGGAGGTCAGGATGAAGCAAGACAACATGATGGACGAGCAAATCGCCAAGGTGAAAAGCCGCTTCGAGTGGATTCAAGCGGTCAAAGCTAAGATTACATCAGCAGGAGTCAATGAATCGTATCTCGAGGAAGCCCCAGGCAGCGACGAAAAACTGCTATCGGAAGACGAACTCACCGAAAGCAAGCGTCTCTTGCTTGAACGGATTGGTGCCGTGGAAGCGGACAAAGAACAGCGCCGTGTGGCCCGTGCATTGGCCAAAGAGAAGCGCGCCCAGGAGCTGAAAAACATAGTACGAGCCGTGATCGACAGACGTGCGAGCTCTCTCAAGAAGCAACAGGAGCTGAAAAGGCAACTCGCAGCAGCTCTGACTCAGTCAGCCTAGTACACAAACAAAAAAAAAAGCCGATGGTCAAACGGAGACCAGCGCTCGCTGAACATTCATCTGTGAGCTTCGTTATTTCCTCAACTTCCTCCCCATTTTTCATTCCTGAGGAGGCGCTCACTTTACTACGTCACTTGAATTTTCCTATATGCATGGGTACGTGTCCTCGCTCGCTGGCTTTGCGTCGCTGTCCTTTCCGCCCTTCAATGAATCGTGATCTTCATCCCCGTCCACCGAAGAGTCCTGAGACGCTAACTAGCTAGCGTTGGGTTACCCTGGGGTCTTATCAATTTTTTTGTGTTTTCGTTTTTTACTGCATTTTTCGCATTTCGCTCACCCTGGTGCTTCAAAAGTTGTAATTTCATTTTCAATTTTCACTTGGTGCCGGGGTGCAATTTGCGCAATTTGCAATTTCGGTGCGGCCCTTTCTTCATTCACTGGCCATTCTTCATCGTGTCTTCAATCTTGCTTCAACTTCAGTTTTTTTTAGGTCACTTCAATTTCATCGTGACCATTCGTCTCGTCTTCACTTTTCAAATCTGTCGGTCGCCCATTTTTTTTATCGGTCGCCGAGCAGCCGATTCTTTTATCGCTCGAGTTTCCATCCAGCTCGCGTCTTTATCATGTAATTCCACTTCGCGTATTTTGCCTCGTTACAAATACATTCCTCGGTCCGCGCGACGATCCATCCATCCATGCAGCTCGCTTCACTGCCATCACCAGCGTTCACATTCCAACCATGAGTCCAATTCTTTTTACAATCTCATGACCAGTGCGATAGCCACCGACAACAGCACTGCAAGCAGGCCGGGACGGATGTCTAAAACGGCTCCGCCTTGGCCAGCGCCCCACCTACCCGATCATCGAATGTGGGGACTGGACCAGCCAGCATTACCGAAGACATGCTCGCATAGTTGGCGGCGGCAGCCTGCTGTTCAGCTGCTCTCTTTCTTTCAGCTCGAGCTCTCGCTGCGCTGGTGTTGGCATTGACAGTGATGACAGGCGGCGGAGTTGTGCTCACGGTACCTGGTGGTTGAGCAGGGTGGCGCTCAAAGTAATGCTTGGTGCACAGATTGTCGATACGACCGGTCTTGGAGCACTCTGGGATGATGCACTTCTTGTCAGCACCATGCGTCACGCAGTAGCCGGCACGACGATCAGTCTTATTGCAGCCTTCCACCATGCAACGTCGTCCACCGCCGTGAGCACGGCACAATCCGCGGCCTTGGGAGCTCTTCGTGCAGTTAGGAACCGTGCAACGGCTACCTCCGCCGTGCAACTTGCACAGTCCACGCGACTGAGCCGAGTTATCGCATCCGTCATGCTGGCAGCGCTTTCCACCACCATGACTGATACAGAAGCCACCACCTTGATCGCTAAGTCCGCAACCGGCAAATCCACAACGTCGTCCTCCACCGTGACCCTTGCAAAGTCCACGCGAGCGCACAGTTCGATCACAGCCGGGAACTGAGCAGTCTTTGAGCTTCTTGTTTTTACGTACGCGTCCGGTACTACTGGACCCCGATCGAGTAGAAGTCGCGCTACGTTTGCCCCCACTCAACGTTGTCGGTCCATTACGACTATCCACAATGCGCGTGTCAATCGGAGGCGGACGTCCGCCTGGCATCACTTGCATGTTATTGATGGCTGTAACTTGCGAAGAGCCCACAGAGCTCGGCGATATGGAGACTCCAGTGCTGTTCATAGCACCACCACTAGTCAACTTCATCTCTCCTGGCCCTGCCGAGCTCTGGGATATCGTGGCATTCTCTGCTCCGAGGCCATAGTTACCGGCACTAGTCGCTTGTGGGACGCTCGTGATAGCGTTCGATGCCTAAGGTTAAAACACAACTACCGTAAGTACATATTCAAAGGAGGGCAACAAATGGACAATACAAACGTACCTGTGCGCATAATGGGCAGCTGGTCAAGCCTCCCCATGTGTGCAAACATTGGGCGTGGAAACGGTGGCCGCAATTGTTTGCGATTCTGTCGCTATGTGCACCACTGCACAGACCGCACGTGTCTTCGCTGCTTGCGTTGAGCTGGGAAGAAGGGGGCGATAAGGACGGCGGATACAGCGCAGATGCTGACGCTGGACCATCCGAGGATAGACTGACCATCGACATGGACGTTGTTGAGCTCGTGACATCTGCATACAAAGAGGTCGGATGCGTAATCTCCAGCGACTTCGCAGTGGCTTGCTGATGTTGCTGCTGCATAAACGGTAATTGGTTTCCATTCGAAGAACCGGTCGAGATGTCCACGCCTCCGTCCTTCAACCGCGTTGTCAAGGAGGGACCCGCGCCACTATTAGGACTGAACTGCGGCATGCGTGATCCAGTACTAAACATCCCACCGACTCCGTTGCCCATGACCCGTCCCATATTGGAAGAACCACCTCCATTCCCATTGGCATCGAAGTTAGTTGGCATTGTGGCACTAGGAGGCACCAGATCCAACGGATTATGCTGTTGCGTCGGTTCTTGTTGCGTACGTTGCTGTTGCTGCTGTGAAAAATACGCCGTACCGCCATACATGTTCGAGCGCTGATACATCGACTGCTGTTGCTGCGTATTGTTGGACGTCGTCTTGATCTGTACCACGTTTCCACTACGCTCAACACCGTGCACATAGCCACCACTGGAGTTCAAGAACGAATCGGCGGGAACCACGTTGAAAGGCTGTCGGAACTTGCGGTCTCCTGCGTCTTTAAGTCCAATATTGACAGGTTCATGCGGCATAGCGTCCGGCGCACCCTGTGGATTCGTTGCCGAAGTCACCAACATGCCTAACGGATTCGTCTCGCTGCCTTGAGCGTAGCTGCCATACTGTTGCTGCTGTTGCGTGGGTTGTTGCTGTTGCTGTTGAGGCTGTTGCTGATAGTTCCCAGTGTTGCCGTAATTCTGCGAGTAAGACGGGTAGCCGTATGGTGCAACGTACGACTGCTGATGCGTCGGGTGCGGCGAGTACTGCTGGCTAGGCCGATTGTCCGCCGGATTCTTGAGGTGCGCGTAGTTTGCAGGCGTGTACTGTCCCGCATGGAATATATTTACCTGTTGCAGTTGCTGCGGATGCGAATGGTACTTTGCATTGCCCAGATTCACTCCACCTCGATGAACGGCTTGAAAACTGTGGCAAAAAGCAAAAGCATGAAAAAATTAGTCACCAGCCATTTTCGCTGTAGGGTTTGAGCAAAGAAGTGCCTTGCGTCCCCCATTCCTCTTCTCGGTCCTGTTCCCCTCGTCCCCGTTTTCAGCTGGTCGTATGTTGACACGGGGACTGGGGGTGTGGGGCTGTAGACGAAAAGGGTCTTCATTCAAAGGCTCGAAGACCGAAACAGGGGAAGGGGGACGGTGGCTCGCAAAGCGCGCGCCTTGTCGCTTCAACTTCAAAGGCAAAAAAGTGTAGGTAGCAAATAACAGGGTTCGGTTTCTAACCTTTTGGCGCGGTCCACAGCGGCGAGATTCACGACGTTGGCATTCATTGTGCCCGCGGCGGAGAAGGCGGCGTAGGGCGTGGCGAGGCCACGAGACTGCGACGAGACTGGCGGTGGGTGGTGCGCGGGATGATTGGGCGTGAGCTCATTCATCGGAGTCGCTCCCGCTCGGGAGACGTCCACGTGAGGGGGGGAGTCGCTCGCGCTGGTACTGACGCTGTTGGTACTGCTGCTGCTGCTTGGCTGCCTTTGCCGCTGGCTGTTTTCTTGGCTGGTGTGGCGGCCAATTTGGCTCCGGCCGTGGATGGGACTAATAGTTGGCGAGGATCGGCACTGTGTGTTCTGTGTGGGCTTTCTGCCGCTGCAGTGTTTCGAGGCTCTCGAGACTCGAGTGGCCGAGCGGGAGGGATCGGAAGTTGTGTAGCGGGCTGGCGTGGCGTGCCTGTGCCTAGCTTCTGGTCATTTGATTGCCGTAAAAGCTGCGAGCGCTGGCCCGACGCTGCCCAACCAGCGCGGGGACACATCGCACCTAGACGTGCAGCCACGGTACGAAAGATCGGCTCCCCCGGCTAAACTGCCGTTTGCAATAGCGACAAGGTGATGGATGGCATACAAATCACTCGGGCCGAATAAGATTCGCAAACACCCATAGTCTCTATCTCCGGCACGACGGGTGGGGAGAAAATGTTCAGTTTGTTCTCGCCTTTTTTTCCAGATAAAGAGGACTTCGCGGCAAAGCGAGTCGGCTCTGCCGTAGCAGCGCAGCTCGTGCCCTTGCAGCTTGCGCCTGCGCTCCATGGCGTCGTTCTTGCCGTCGTAGGCCCGCATAGCACCAAGTCTTTAGAAACCTTTCCGTTATCCTGCTACTTTCGGTGTCAAGGGTGGCACCGCACTGGCCGAGTGCTCGTCTGCCGTCCAAATGGCTCCATCCTCAAAAGTCCGCTTCTGCCTGATAGGCATTCTGTCCGTTTGCCGCACACGAGGCGCGTCTCGTTGTCTTGTCTGCCTAGGGAGTACACAAGCGATGACGGTTAAATACCTAGGATCGGAGGGTAATTCTCGTAGGCGATGCACACTGTTGCGGCGTTGAAAGGTACACGTTGACCCCCAACACGAAATATCTGCAACCTCTCACTCTTATTCGCCTCTCAAGCGTCGAGACGAATAAGAGTTGTGAGCGAAATGGCACGATGCTATTTAATGTCCTCCTCGTGGGTATCGTTCTCTCCCACAATGACCACCGGAATTCAAATTCAGATCTCGATAGTCTGTGCAATAGCTGTACATGTCCACGGCGAAGGCAAATTCAGAGCTCGCTGACTCAGCAGAAGTTATGGACTGGGAGGTTCAGGTCTGGATTTTTAGCCTCTGACTGAGAGCTGCGGTTTTGTCGTGCTAGCGTAGCGTCACAGACCGAATTGGACATGTTGACACCAGGGCCCTGTACATGTACAGTACTGTACACGTACTACAGTAGTACAAGTACTTCGAGAAACAATGTACCGTTACATGCAATGGTCGACCTAAATGCTCGACGCTCGAACTAAGATTAATCAAAGCTCTTTTTAATGTTCGGGTGCGGGAAAAGCGTGATTCTAGCAACTCAGTACCGGTAGGGCTGTTTAAAGGCTGCATTGTTGGCTGCAGAGCTACGGTGCCGTGATGGTGGCAGCGGAAGAGCGAAGATAGGATGGATGAAATGCAGCCTCTCTTGTGCTGGCGCCACCACGCCAATCACCGGCGACAGCTAGCGTCCAACTGGTACAAAATAAACAGCGGAAGCGCATTAAAGGCGACAGACAAGCCGCTTGGTGTGTCAAGTCATGCTAAGCTTGCGAGCAGCGTGTGATTTGAACAGGAGTCTTTTCGCAAGCTGTAGGCTACCAAACGCTGCGAAGCAACTTCCAGCATTTAACTGCCCACACTAGAATGGTAGCCATGCATCTTCCAGCCACGGCACCGATGATTTGCCTGTGGCTTCACTTTTCGGGCACCGAAAATTTCGCGAATGTGGTCCACGCCAAGTGCCAGCTCAGTTTTCTACCGTCGAGCTCCGCCTAAATACGCTTCGATTTTATCCACCAATAGCGTGATCTACCTACCCCTTTATGTGACGTCAGTTTGACCAACATAAACAGGACGAAAAAAGATGGATTAACTATGATTTAGCTGAATTCACTACGTCTTACCGCAAAAAGCAGCAACTTATCAATAGGGCTTGTCTATGAATTTATATGGACATGAGTGGCGACAATGCCAGGATTCGCCCGAGGCTCAAGTTGCCTGGTCGCCCACCACGCAAGACAGCCAGCAGAGCTGCTGCGCATTCGCCAAGCTTCGCCAAGACCAACCCAGCAGAAGAACTACTCCTAAGACATGCCGCTATCCTCCATCGTCGCTGCTGTGTCCACGAACGCGGGCACCATGGCCGTCATGCCGCTGGTACTCGCATCAGCAGGCATCACCAGCTACGCGCGCTACACCGCTTCGCACCCACACGACGATAGTAAGACAAGTACACGCGACCTCGAGCACGAGCGTGAAGAGCAACTTCACCAGCACGTGGCGCTTCCCTGGAAGGGTGCGCGATAATCTCGCTGCCGTTAACGCATGTATTTTATTCTTAAGTGCCCGGCCTAAGACGCTGCGCTGTCGCTAGCTGTACAAGCGATAGCCGCGAAGAGAAGAAAAGCAATACGCAGAAGCGCTTTAGTCCGAGCAATTCGTCGTCACTGATATGCGGGCCGTGTTGAATGCAATTGTAAAGTCTTTTACATGGAGCTCGTGTTGTTGAGTCCCAAGCGTCTAACGTTTGGCGCCTCGTCACATTTTGACCTTTCCGGTCCTTGGTGCAACTTTGGTCTTATCATTCAAAGTTCGTCCCTTCGTAGCCACATGCTGGCACCGCGTAGGACGCTCCATTCGACGCCGCTGAGCGCCTTCCGCCGGGCGCTGGAGCTCGTGCACGCTGATGCTTCAGACGTGGTCTACGATCTGGGCTGTGGAGATGGCCGACTGCTAATCGACGCCGCGCGGAGATTCGGCGTGCGCGCGGTGGGCGTGGAGATAGACCCGAAGCGGGCGCAACAAGCTCGTGACGCAGCGGAGGCCAACGGCGTGGGACATTTAGTAACGGTATATCAAGCCAACGCGTTGGAGTTCGACATCCCTGCGGAAGCTACGATCATTTTCCTCTTCCTCATCAACCGCGGCCTGTCGTACGTCAGCTCCTGGCAATAGTTGTGCCTCCTTGATTCACCAGATGCGTGACTAACAGCCTTCGGTTTTGGACTTTGTAGCTTGGTGCGGCCAAAGCTGGAGAAACTGCAGGCGTGTCGAGTGATCACGTACCTCTATCGAATTCCGAATTTGACGCCGCTGGAGAAGCAATTTGTGCCGACAAGAGAATCAGTTTCGGAGCAGGACGTCACTACATTTAGAAAGCAGGAAGCGAAGGGCAGCAAGAGTGCGGTCGCCCCAGAGGATGTGATGTTCCCAGTTTACATTTATCACTTCCCCACGTCATCGGAATCGGTCATGAGTCTCCCGCAGTCGACGAAGAAGTAATCGAATAGATTGTCCCAAGCGAAATCAAGTACTTGAAGTATAAGCAGCGCGCAAGTCTCCGTTTTGCCATAACCGATGCGATGAAAGAGTTTTCTCTCGCTTGTGCGACGTTGAAGTGGAGAAATGGCTAATCTTGGCTCTACGCGTTGCTGTTTTCTTTTTCGATTATTTTACTTCTTTCTTCTTGTATTGTTATCCTTTACTTGTACACGTACTTCGAAGCAGTAATGAACTTGAATAGACTGCCTCAGATGCATACTTCTGGGTCCTTATGTACAGTACTTCCACAAAGTCAGATCGAAATCATGACTCATTTTAAAGTTGAAGTTAAAGAGGAGTGATGGTCAAATGTCACCAAGTCCGCCACTGTGTAGATACAGGTAGTTGCAAGCAGTGCGTCCCATGGAGCGAGATTTCGATCTAGCAGCAGAGTCTTTGGAGTTGAGAATAGTAGGAATAAAGATGTGGAGCTTTTCGGAGCCGAATGAGCAGGTGAAATGGCCCAGGCAGAACGACGAAATAAAGTTGGTCATTTGATAAATTGCAACAAGCAACACGAACAGCTACAGCTTTCTCATCCGAGAAGATTGGCAACCGTTTACTGCAGATTTATTCGAGGCAAGAGCTTGCCACGTGCTTTTGTTTTTTGCTGTTTAATCGGGGATAAGCTGGAAGAGGTGGTGCTGTAAGGTATTCCTGACGCGGAAGGTAGCCCAACAGGTCGAGATTGCTTAGTTTTCTTCTTCTTGGTGCTAGCATTTGTCATTGAATTCTTGCGAGTTGATTGACTGCTGTTCGTACTCGTTGCGGGGGACGCAGCGTTGTTTCTGGAGAGCGAAAAGCGGCAATTGCCATTCGAGCGCTGGGTACTTCTTGAACTCGGTAGCTGTAAGGAACCTGAACGTCCATCGCTCGGAGCCACATCACTTGGACTGTTATGTGAGCTGTCGCTGCCATCCGCCTCCGGTGAGCTGTTTTAAGCGCAGTTACCAATGAGAAAAACAAAAAGAAGCAAAAAGCAAAATGGCAAATACTTACAAAGGCAAATTTCCCAATGGAAGAAGCGGAATGGAATCGTCATCGTCAGCGTGGTTATCTTTACTTGCAGCGTATCGCCCCGTATGCTGCTCCTGTATCTTGGACTTGCTCGTATTTTTGCTAGACTTGGAAGTTGAAGCGGAAGAGCTGTTACTTTGGCTGAACTCGAGTCCTAGTTGAGCTTTAATGACTGCCATAGGCAAGCTGGATAATTCTGCTGATGTCAGCGGTTCGTTGGCGTAAAATTTGCGGTACTCGCCATTTCCACCTGACGACTGTTGTTCTACTATCTCTGGATTCGAAGCGCTATCCTCCACATTGATTCGTGCTTGGTTATTGTTGACGTCACTTCTGGAACCGGTTGGCAGTGCTGGGGACTGTACTTGCTGTCGTAATGCACGTTGTAGCTCAGCTCGATGTACTTCAGCCTCACGACGACGTTCACGCTCCAAATCAAGTTCTTGTTGCAGTCGAGCTGCTGTGCGTTCGCCCTGTTGTTGAGCTGCTTGCATCCGAGAAGTGGTGTCGGCTATAGTTTGGTTCGCAGCCTGCTGGATATTCGCCAGTCTCTGCGTAGCTGCTCTTAGCTCTGTCCCTGATCGACTAAGTTCCACTTTTGCACGTTCTAGAGCTTGCTTCATCGCCTGAGCTTCACGCTGTGCGCGTGTAACTTGCTGTTGTGAGGCTTCATCTTCATCACGAAGCTCTGCAAGCTGCGCATCAAGTGCACGCCGTTCACGAGCTACTCGAAGAACCTCGTCACGAGCTCTCTCTTCTCCGTCCTGAGCTTCACGCACCTTCGTGTCTAAAGCCAGCTTCAACTCGCTCGCTTTGGCTTGCAGTGCATCTCGAGCCGCAACGAGTGGTGATAATTTGCGTTCAGCCTCATTTGCACGACGTGATAAATTTTCCATTTCACGACCTTTCGCGTCACACTCCTGTTTTTTGCCCTCAAGAGTGTTTGTCGTGCGTTGCAACTTCAATTCCAATTCGCTCAAACGCTCTTCCAGTTCTTCTTGTGTCCGAGCAGCTCCATCTCGTATCTCGCGAAGTTGTGCGTCACGTGTGCGTATCTGCTCTTCGACTTCTCGTAGCTGCGAGCGAATGCCACCTCCATCCTTCTCTTTCTTCGCACGAGCACGCTCGAGCTCAAGAGCGTCTTGAGCTCCTTGCAGCTCCGAGACCAGGTCATCGATCGTTGCATTCGCGGCACTTTGGATCGTAGTGATCTTGCTCTGCAATTCTTCGGACAAAGCGGCGCTCTCTTGGTTCTCAAGCCGTACAGCCTCCAGTTCTTGTCGAAGTTTTTCATGTTCCTCTTCTAGCTGGTGAGCTTGAGCTCGTGCATCTCGACGAGCCACTTCAACAGCTCGCAGTGCATCTTGAGCATCATCTGCAGCTCTCTGGAGCTCTAGCTGCAGTGACTGCTTGGTACGTGACGCACGTTCGAGTTCCGCTTCCAATCGACGCAGTTCTGTAGCTTGCAACTCCTTCTGCGCTTCCAGCTCAGCAAATTGCGGTGTGAGCGTCGCTCGAAGCTGCTCCACCTCGTATCGTGCTTGATTCTGAGTCTCGTGCTGCGATTGGACAGCTGCAGCGAACGCGTTTTCCGCTCGGGCTTGAGCCTGTTGAGTCTCAGACAACTGAAGCACCAGTGTATCACGTTGCTGACGAGAAAGCTCAGCATCTTGAGCACGAGCTTGTTCTAGGTGCTCCACCTTACTCTGTAAATGAGTGAGCATAGTAAGCATCTCTTCAAGTCGCTGGGTCTTTTCCTCTAACGCTCGAGATAGCTCCCGTTCGCTATGTGAGCGCTGAGCCTGTTCTGCATCCCGCGCATGTGCCAGCTCGTCTCTCTCTTCACTCATAGTCTGTGCAACTCGTTCCAGCTCACTTCGAAGCTCTTCAACCTCCCGTATTTTCGTCTGCACTTCTTCCTGTGCGCGTTGTAGCTGGGTAGCGAGATGTTCGTTCGTTCTTCTGGCGCTTTCCTCCAAGTCTGAATGCGTTTCTTGCAGATCTCCATGCGTCAGCTGAAGTTCTCGATACGATCCACGCACTTGCTCGAGTTCTAGCTGCTTGTCATTCACAACTCGGTACTGAGTTTCCAGACTGACATTGAGCTGCTCCGCTTCAGCTAATAATTCGCGCTTCTCGGCTTCCAGAGCTGCACTCCGAGTGCGCTGTGCGTCCAGCACTTTCTGAAGCTGCAAAAGCTGTGACGCACTAACGGATCGGAGATGTTCGAGCTCCTGAATTTGTTGCCGAAGTTGCTCGTTTGAGTGCGTCAGTTGCGCTTCGTGGCCACCAGCATCTTGAGACAGCTTCGCCAGTTCCTCAGCCAGCGTTTTGGCATCCTCACGCGCAGATTCCACTTCTTGTTGAGTGTTTTGCAACTGTGTTTGCAGCTCTTGCTCAAGTGTTTTAAACCTCTCACGATCACCATCTCGTTCTTGTTGCAAGCGAAGGACTTTTAACTGTAAGGGCTCAAGTGAACTAGAGGCTTTCGTGAGTTGCTTGAGCGCTTGAAACACCGCTGGCAACAGTGCTAACGCGTCTTCGTTCCCAGCTAAATTATCGTCATTCTCTTCATTGTCCGACGTAGAATTAGGCGTGATGAGGTCAAGACATTGGCGTGTCAGTCGTTCTGCAGTTTCGCATCGACTTGAAAGCCGCTCGAGCTGAGTATTGGAATCTTCCAGTTGTCCTGCTGTCTCTCGTAGCTGTTCATTGAGCTCTTGAAGTATCCCGTTTTCAGCGGATCCTTGTGCCTCAAGACGAGCTTTGTCCGCTTTAGTGGTTTGCAACTGGGCACGAAGATCTCGGAGTTCATCTTGCGCTTCACGCACAACACGTTCAGCCTCTTCTCGGAGGTCTAGAGCTTGAACTCGCTCTTCTTCGGCCTGTTTTCCGCGCTCAGCAAGCGCTGCTGCATGTTGTTGACTCATTTGCTCTAGCTGTGCTTGGAATCGAGACACTTCAGTGATCATCAGAGCATTGAGCTCTTCCTTCTGAGCTCGCTCCTCGTTAATACTCGCCGTTGCAGCGTCCAACTGTTTCTTCAGCTCATCGTGGAGTTGGTTGCGTTGGGCTTCCGACTGCATCTGCAGCTCCCGTTCACGTGACTTTGCGGCTTCTTGCATCCGAGTGAGATCTTCTTGAGCTTGTGACTGCAGCTCTTGCTCTCGTTGATGAGTAGCTTCAATTTCTTTCGTGGCGTTCCACAAATGCTGTCCAAGCTCTTGCTTTGCCTGTTCCAGTTCACGTAGTTTTTCAAGCATCTTGTCACGCTCTGTGGTTAGTTGAGCATCCAATTCCTGGATTTTCGATTCATGAGAATGCTGAAGTGTTGCTATCTCTGCTTGAAATTCTTCACATTGAGTTTGTTGTTGCTCTTCATAATGAGCACACGTGTTTTGTAGTTCGGTTTGCTGCTCGTTGAGTTCTGCATCATATTTTTCACGCATCTCTTTGGCGCATTGTTGTTGTCTCTGAACTTCATCGTTCAGCACTGACAATTCTTCGCGATGATGAATCGCATTCTCTGCAGTCCCAGCTTCCAGTTTGCTAAGCGCTTCTTGGACACGCACAAGTTCTTCACTAGTGGCACGTTCGTTGTTAGTGACGACGCTTAATTGCTCTCGAGTTTGCGCGAGTTGCTCCGTCAATTGTGTCGTCTCCGCGAGTTTTTCACGCCACGCAGCTGCTGATCCTTCGGACTCTTGTTTCATCTGTTGTAACACCGATCCAAGTTGCTCAAGCACCTGACCACTTTTCTCACTCGGTGGACCTCCCCATGGTTCTCGACTTGTGCTGGAAGTGCTTCGTGTAGTCAAGAAGTGTTGCTGTTGCAGTCCTGGGTACGCGGTGGATGGATATGCTGGCAACGCGGGAGCTGCTCCTGGGTAGCAAAACGCAGCGAGATTTTGTTGTTGAAGCTGTTGAAGTTGAAGCAGCAAGTCTGTACCCCCTACTGGTAGGATCTGCGGCTGAGAAGGGGGAATTTGACGTCCGTGGTCATAGTTCGAATGACTGTAAGTTCCAGCGCCGTCTCCATGGCTTCCAGTGTTCGATTTACGTCGTGACTTGGCAGTGACTGGAGGGGAGCGCTTATCACCAAGCAGCGCGTTGGACGATGGCTTTCGAGAGCTCGACTTCATTGGAACTCAAGACGCAGCTGCTCGATGCGTAAGGTTGCAAAGCTTCCAGCAGCCACTGCTGTCCCTGTCCGTTGAATATTACATTTTCTAAGAACTGGTAGACGTCTATGCATTTTATATATTTTTAGGAGGTTGCGTCGGAGAACACTCAGCTCCATTTAGCCATAATGATTCCTGTGCTCGACAAGCGAGACCGACAAAGACTTCAGGCAGGCAGCTCTGAAGCGATGGGGTCACCTGTAAAAGCTCGAGAATGGGAGAAAACACTCAAAGTCAAGTGTCGACTGTGTGGTGGGTTGCGTTGCAAGCGATGCAGTGAAAGTGCAGCACTGGCGAAACAGGATTCCCCTGTAAAGGGGTTGCATGCTGACTGGGTGGCCGATTGCGCCTTGGCAATGATGCGTCCGTCCTCACGCCTCATGAACGAATACAAAATCGCCGAGCAATTCCACAAGTAGGTATTGACTCGATCCGAAAAAAGTAGGAAGGGCTAACGAACTTGTTTGTAGACTGAATATCACAGCTGTCTTCAACTTGACACTTCCTGGTGAACATCCTTATTGTGGTGACGGTCTTGGCACCAGTGGCTTCCCGTATGACCCTGAAAAGGATCTTATGGCTGAAAACAGTATGACTCTTAATCGTTGTTTGATCGCTTTAACACCTCGGTAAGTCTAACACATCTTGATGATTCTGCAGTTCGGTTCTACAACTTTGGTTGGGAAGATATGACGACGCCGGCATTGGCATTCATGATGGACATCGTCAAGGTCATCGCTTCCGTTTTACTCACGGGTCGTCATAAAGTAGCTGTGCATTGTCATGCTGGCTATGGACGCACTGGAATTGCCATTGCCTGTGCTCTCATCTTCCTCCACAATATCCCACCTGAGCTAGCAATTCGTTTAGTGCGTCGAGATCGTCCTGGGTCCGTCCAGACGGCTGGCCAAGTTCAATTCGTGCATGATTTCCACGCATACCTCAACGCCGCTCGCGTTGTGTTCGCCTTGCCAACAATTCATGATCGATTTACACTTGCAGAGACTGTGGAGCATCAGAATCGTCGTCTACATGGTGCAGGTGCGGTAAACTCGAGCTTACCGAGAGTGCTTGACTTCCTCTGCGCTGAAGTGGAAGGCGCAATAACCGCATCTTCCGACGTCGTGACAGTTGCTTCGGCTTTCGTCAATCATCTGTGCGTTCGTCAGCAAGAAGCTTGGCCCCGAACGATCGAATGTACCAAAGAGTCCTATCGTCCCACATCCTCGGACAACGCTGAACTACTTGATCGGCATCGACAGTTTATCGGGGCAGTAGCGAACGAGTCTTTTAAGGACAACGACGGCATTTCTTTTGATACCATTGAACCTCCCGAGCCTGCAACCAGAGAACTACTCTTCCCAATTAAAGTCGGCTTCAACGTCGGTGAATGGAACTGGGAACAAGCCTCAGCGTCGTGTCCGAATGCCTCGACTCGCGCGGTTTTACTGCTTGACTGGCTCGAACATCTACGAGAGCCTTTAGTAAGCAGCCAACTCGTAGAGAAACTGTTGCATGTATCCCCAGTGCCACCGTTAAAACTCCCCACAACAACCTCTGGCCACCCTGGTGCGATACAACATGCTCGAAGCGAAAGCGAAACTCTCGGCAACACGAGTAACAGCAACTACCAGTTCCAAGGCCTTCACCAACTACCAGCATACGCCATGCGATCTCTGGATCGAATTCTGTCTTGTATGCGTGTTCTCCAAGCTAAATTGGAGCCATTCGCGACAGGAGACATGCTGTTTGATGCAGTTTGTGTACGCACTGCGATGGCTTTATTCCATCTCTCTTCTACTAGCTGCACAACGTCTTCACTGCGACGGCATGCGGATTGTGTCGCACTGTTACTTGATAAGTGGCATACACCTAAGCGACTAGAACTCAACTTGGAATCGCTACAAAAGCTCAGCGTCCATAGACCTTCCACTTGTCGTCTCACTCATTCGGCCAGCACTCTCAGCTACAGCTCCGAGACCGACACGAGTAAGCCCTCGACTTCTCGCTCTCCTTCACATACGCCACGTGAACCGAACGGCACTTTACCCGGCACGTTAAGCGACGATGTGTTAGACTCATTATTGCAATCCCAGACCGGGAGTGCTGAGTCTTTTGGTGCGTTATCGCTGCAGCAACCACACAAACCTCAAGGTGAAGCATACGCAAGACCCAGTATTTCCTGTGGTGCTATCATTACATCTTCACCACGACCATCGCCACGCCCATCGTCTCCAGTCAAAGTCGACCCTCTATTAGCCAGCGTCAGACGAGAGGAGGATGACAAACCATTGTGTCTATCACTACCGTCAACACCAAAGAAGATGGATCTAAGTCCGTTAGCAACACAACTACTACCAGAGAAAGACTCGGAGCTAAGCGACGACAGCTTTGGGATGACCTTCTCGACCGAGTTCACAGCTAGCAACGTCAGTCTCCAGCTGGATTCGTCTGCACTGCCAAGTGTACGTGACGGAGGACGCTACAGCAGAAGGTCAGGGAGTATTGTTAAATAGCGATATGTATCAGATAGAACAGCGAATAAACGCACTCCAAGTTATTGCATCATAGATATACAGGGCTGAGCCATTTAGGCTACGATCTCCGATTTGAGCGTAAGCACCTTGACATTCGCGCCAAGCGTCAACAGTAAAGGCGCTGTGTTCTCCTCGATCTCCACAACCATATTGGATCCAAAGTAGCCTTCGAACTTTTTGCCGTCGGTGAAGCCCAACAATGCACCGTTGCGTTCTCGCACAATGGCACGAGAAGGTTCGCGTTTGAAATGGACTTCTCCCGTTTCTTGATTCACGCTGGGCATCCCACAGCGCGCACACGGTCTCACATTACGGAAAGGAATGCCACCAATTGTGATGCAGTTCCAGTGCTCATCCGCAAACGCCGGACTTCCTCGGAGCACAATGCTAAGTACAACACGAGACAAAATATCATTAAATCAGTGAAACACAAAAGAAAACCATAAGCATTTTGCACGTACTTGGGGCGGAATCGATTCATGGGCACTGGCGTCTCGAGTGTCGTGTTGAATTTCGCTAATGATTCCTCCAGCGCCAAGAGGAATGGGAACGCGTCGGCGAAGTTTGTCGCGTGTCCGGGAGCGTATTTTGGCTTGGTGTGGCGCGTGTATCCGTCTCGAGCCCGCGTGAGACGAAAGTGACACTTGTCTTCCCCCATAAACTCATCCAACCACGTGGCTGCAGCGTCTCCCTGGTCGATGGCTTCCACTTTGTCCTTCCAAATGCTCACGACGCGCAATTGGCCCTCTCCAGTGTGCACCACAGGCACCTCCAGGTCGGGCATTCCCTTGGCTGATAGCACCAGACTCGTGGCTACTGCATCCATACCAGGGAGCACTTTGGGATGAATCAACGCCAGCTTGGGATACCTCCTCTGGGTCACGAACTTATTCCTATCTCCGTCAATAATGACCCACTCTCGATCGTGTAGCAGGCCTTTGGGTGTCAATTGAGCCTGTTTCAGTGCAATACCAGCACAAGACTTGACGGGGTACACAAAAATCCCAGAAACGTGTGGGAACTGCAGCTGTGAGGATTTTACCGTCCTGGTCTCGGAATTTGAGAGCTTCACTTCGTAGCTGTCGGAATCTTCATCGTAGCTCAGCACCGAGCCAGTTTTTAAACCACCGAGAGGTAGTTTTAGCGCCACCACAGCATTTATTGGTAGTAGAATCTTCTGTTTCGCTGCCAATCGCTCTTGAACCTCATCGCGCTGTAGAACGCAGGAGGCCGACGAGGTCTCCTGAGGTTTGGAGAGCTTCTTTTTGACTGCAACCGCCACGACGAGGATCGCAATTGGCGTAGCGATTAGTGTAACGTAATTAATTGTCGAGGGGGACGTCGAAGACGCGGCGTGCACTGCCGGAAGCAGCATCGCCACTATCCAAAGACTCATCTCCATGTTGAATCCAAATCCTTTAAGGTCACTAAAGCGAATTCTGCCTCCTCTCGAGCTAATTTTGTGTCGGACTATTTTCTGTCCAATAAGAGACTCCGACTTAACGACTAGCTCCATGTCACTAAAACGAATTCAGCCAGCCAATCGAACATCCGATCGAATATGGCGGATGAGCTGCAGTTCCTCGTGCACTTCAACCGCACGCTGTGCGTCTCCTTATCCTCTAATGCAGCCACAGTCTCCGGTATCGCCTCCTTTGTCCAACAACGTGAAGGCGTGCCTTCCTCGCTGCTTGATCTGTACGTGAATGGCCGTAAGCTGGACGTGTCTAGCCATGTTCCTTCCTTCCCAACCATCATCCGCGCACGACTGCGTGGCGGTCTACGCGGCGGCAAAGGCGGATTCGGTGCCATGTTGCGTAGCCAGGGAAAAGCTTCGGGCGCCAGAGCCACGACGGACTTCGGTGCGTGTCGAGACCTGCACGGCCGTCGTCTACGTCACGTGAACCAGGAAGTGGCGATGCACAAGTGGCGACACGACGCAGAGACTCGAGCCAAGCGGGACAAAGACGGCATCGAAGACCGAGAGATAATTGACGAAGAAACACCTAGTGGCATCCCTGGCTGGTACCTGGCTACACCCTCATGGGCGGAAGGTATCAAGAAGTCGTACATGAAGAGACGACGCAACACAGTACTGTGTAAGAGCTGGGTGAAAGCGAGACAAGGAAAGAAAGCACCGCCTCCAGGAGCCCCAAGATGGTGGGGCTGTCCACGTGGACGAGACTGTGACTTTGCGCATGGAGAAGAGGAGCTAAGAGGTGAGGCTCTTACAGAGCTAAAACGTGCCAAAAGGGAGGAGGCTCAAAGAGCCAAACAACAGGAACTACAGGATTACGTAGATTTCGAACTGGAGATGCCAGATGATGTGCTGGACGCGATTAAGAGCGGCCTGCGACGTCGCAAGAAGAAGGCAGACGTCAAGATGGAGCTGCAGGAAAAAGATGCTCGAGTGTTGCCACCCGACGCCACTACGTACATCAGTGTACGCTCAGCGCAACGTCCGTTACCGGTTGTGGAGAAGTGGTTGAAGCTAGAAGGAGAACAGGAAGCCGACGCTACTGCGAGTGTGGGGACGACGTTCAAGCATGGGTTGTGTGAAGTACGTGGCCGAGGCAACTTTGGCACGGCGGCAGCGCGACACTGCTGCGTCTTGACGAAGGGGAAATGGTACTATGAAGTGCGCCTCGTGACAGCTGGCGTGGTGCAGATTGGCTGGGCAGACTCGACATTCGAGGCAAACTCGGAAACGGGAGACGGGGTGGGCGACCATGAGCGCTCGTGGGCTTACGATGGCGCTCGACAGGTGAAATGGAATGGTGGCAAGGACGAGCAGTACGCGACGGATGATTCATGGAGTAAGAACGACGTGATTGGCTGTCTGCTGGATCTGGATGAAGGTTTTGTCTCGTTCACTCGGAATGGGGTTGATCTCGGTGTGGCATTTCGCAACGTCAAGCACACGTCGAGTGACTGCGGCTTCTTCCCGGCTATCAGCGTCGAACAGACCGAGATCTTGTTAGTCAACATTGGCTCCCAACCGTTCATGTACGAGGCTCCTGGATTCGAGCCTGTCATCGACGCTCTGGAAGCTGAAAGAGTTGAAGAAGCAACGAACATCAGTAGCGACGAGACGCTAAGCTCAGCAGTCGTAGATGATACCAAAGTACAGGCCGAAGCCAGCCCAGCAAATAATACGAAGGCCGAGAAACCTCAGAAGACAAAGGAGCTTAAGAAGAAGACAACTCCTACTGAACCTCCTATCGACTTGATGAAGTTTGAGAGTCTCGAGTCGCTCGAGGCACTGGGATTGGAGCGCCTGAAGCAAGAACTGAGTCGACGTGACTTGAAATGCGGGTACGTTTACTGCAGACAGATGATGAATACGACACCTATACTAATTTGTTTCTTTGCTTCTTGCTCCGCAGTGGTAACCTGACGGAGCGAGCGTCACGGCTGCTTAGTGTTCGAGGAAAAGCCTGGGACGACATCGATGCCAAACTCAAGGTCAAGCTAAAGACGCAGCAAGCGTAGAGACTTAGCATGCAAAGCAGTTAAGTCTTCTTCATTGAGGCATTTTTAACATCAGAGAATTACGAAAATGTGCAACATGCAACATGCAGACATGTAAGTACAGAATATGCAGATTGAGCTACTACTATACGTGAAGCTAGAAAGGAAAAGCGCAGCAAGTTACTTCTTCTGGCGTGTCGTAGTGACCGAGGTGTACGACATACTGGGCTTGAAGGTGGATTGCGGCGGTGGCGGAGGGACACCGAATGACGGCATTCCTGGGAAGAGTTGCTGGCCATTCGGTGGGGCTCCAGGGTAGCTCATGGGAGGACGTGGCCCGCCAAAGCCACCAAAACCAGACGAACCATTGCTGTGGAACTGCATGGCGAGCGATGCGACATCGAACGCACCTCCACCATTGTTTGACGCGGGTGGAGGGGGTGGAGGCTGTGGGTATCCGGGTGGCTGCATCGCTCCAGGCGGCATGTTTCCTCGCGGGAAGTACATGGGGTTTTGCTGCGGCATCATCGGAGGCATGGGATATCCCGGCGGACCACCCGCAAACTGATTGTTCGGCATCGGGGCCATCGGACGAGCGAACATCGCTTGGCTCTGCTGTTGGTTCAAAAATGGTTGCTGTTGTGGCGGATGAGGAGGCTGTGGAGGCTGCTGAAGTGGCTGCGACGACGGAGCAGAGTTGGGAGGTGGAGGCGGACCGCTGACTTGTACAGACTTCGCAAAATTGGAAAAATTAAAGCTGCCAGCGCTCTCTTGCGTGGTGGCTTGAGTCGATTCCCCATCGGAAGGTCTGGACAAGCCAGGAGGAGGTGCAGATCTACTGGGCGGCGCCGACTGACTGCGAGACTGGCTATCCTCGACAGATACTTCCTCTGCAGAGTCAGGAACATTCGGGGGTGGCGGCTGTGCTGATGACGCAGCCCGAGCAAAGCCGAAGCGAGACTGACTTGCAGTCTCAGCAGACACAGACGGCTGCTGCTGTTCCTCGACAGGTTTGTCTTCTGAAGTTGGAGTCGTCTCCTCTGTCTCTTCGCTTTCTTTGGTCTCATTCGCATCTTCATCGACTTGCTGTGCTTTCTTCTTACGCGAATAGACCTCCACTTCCTCTGAGAGGACGATTTCCACCTCCACTGGTTCGAGTTCAACCATTTGATCCTCCGCTTGGTCACCCAGCAGAGTGTTAAGACTCTTTTGGACGGAAGGATCTTGGAATTGTGCCAGTCGCAGCTGTGCGTACTGTCGGAACTCGAATAGTCGATTCTGTTGCGCCTTCTCAATCGCCACAAGCTCATCCACAAACTTTTCTCGAAGACGCATTCTCTTAATGTATGTGGTCGCCACATGGAACTGTCCTCCTCCAATAGCCTTGCGAATCAAAAGCTCCACATTATACTGCGGTAGATACTCGGTATTGTCTTCTTCTTTCAAGGGAGCCTCCTCTCCATTCGCAGCAGCAAGTGCAGCTTCAGCAGCTGCAACTGCATCGTCCAGCGGGTTCTTGGCCAAGTTGAACTTGATCGCGTACTTGATGGCCTTGTAGAACTCGTTGTGTGCGACCATAGCGTCCACCAGGTATCTCAGCAAGCTTAATGTCGCGTCTCCATTGCCCTGATCCAGTTTAAACTCGCGCAGATAACGCAATGAGGTCACAAAGTCTCCAACATGTGCAGTCTCGCGCACCAACGCTTCGTAAAACTTGGCTCGCGTGTCGTCTTTATCCGATAGTTTGTTCATGCATTTAACAGCCTGAGCCCATTGTCGCTGCTTCATCATCTCTACCGCAAGAGCTTCAAGGGGGAAATCCTTGAACAGCTGCATCTCCATGACGCTGGAGATGGCTTCCTCGTAGCTTCTGGTCTCCAGCATGCCACGTACTAACTGTGAGGCCGGGAAGGTGTCCAGTAGGCCGAATTGCTTGGAAAACTTAAGCGCCGCACGGAATTTACCCGCGCGGATCATAGCTTGGATGAGAGCAGGTGGCGTCCAGCACGGTCTGTCTGCAGCGGCGGAGAGCGTCTCGAAGCCTGGCACCATCTCCTGTGCTAGACGTGTGGCAGCGCTGAACTGTTGCCCTCGAACCATCTCGTTAATGAGTAGCGTGACCAGCGCGTCGTTCTGCTGGAGCTGAAGGTCGCGCACTAGTCGCGCAGCCTGTTCCAGCGCGCATGGGCTCTTGGCTTGCTCCAGCATGAGACGTACCACGTCTGCTGTCTGGAAGCGTGTGCTTAAGTGCGCGCTAGCGGCGATGAGGAAGGCAGCGTCGGCGAATTTCGCAACAATAAGGAGCTGCTGCAGCCGCGCTTCAAGCTGTTCGGGGGTTGCACTGTCTGCGTAGCTGCGAGCCTGCGCTACGCCCAAATCAAATGCGGAGGGAGCAGGTTTTGCTGGAGGCTTGGGCTTGGCATTACGCTGCTTAGGTTGCGACTTGGAGCGTGACGAGGACGAGAAAGGGCGGGTCTTGCCTGTGGAGGTGTCACGACTGGCTTGGGAGACGCCCCGCCAATTGGCGGGCGCCGTCTGCGTCATGAAGGGCGGCGGCGGAAAAACTTGGTGCTGTGGAGGATTTTCTTATGCGTTGGTGGGCTTTTGTAGTGGCGGGGTTTTAGCCAATAAATGGGTGACAGCGGCGAATTACGTTATCGACCAATGAAATACAGGTATACATACAGTAGTACTTCTGTAAGCTTAGTTTAAGATACTTCAAGCCCAAAAGTAAAAATGGCGTTTACATTTGAGGAATTCGGTACAGTATGGACAAGATCGAAGGCCAAAATGTTTGCTCAAGCGAAGGCAGGGAACTTACAGATAGGACACCGTCCCTTCTCCTGAAGCCACGGATCGATACATTGAGGGTGAAACCGGTGGAAGCACGGCATCATACGCACAGGAGCGTCGACCTGGAAAACGTTCAGACACACTGTACAGCTAGCGTTCTCGGATGCTTTCAGCATACTCTCCCTGCAAAACAACAGTGGCAAACAAGCGAGTTCAACATGAGTCTATGCCAGCGCTTCTACAGCTCTGCAAGTCTTGAGCCCATTTGTCTTATCCAGTTCATGGCTTGATGTACGTACGTTACTGTGATGATGGGCAGCTGCTGGATCTGCTGCGGTGTTGCACCCTCTTGGCGGCGCTCGTTCAGCGCCTCGAGTCGCATGAGGCGCTCGTAGTCGTTGCTGTCAAAGTCGCGGTTGCTCATGAGCAGCTGCAGCATGTCACCGTCCAGCTGCTCGTACAGCGCGCGGCTCATCTGCATGACGCCGCGCGGCGCTTGCCTTCTCCGCTGGTTCTGCGGTTGGTTTTGCTTAGTGCCGAAAATGAGCAGCTCCAGGAGCGAGATGATCCCGTACATGACGACGGGTAGGCCGACTGTGGATATATAATAATGAAGAAGGGGTTAACATTCGGTAGCTGCAGCTTGTACAGCGAGACTGAGAGGTTGCCGTACACGCCACGGCGAACGGGAAGAGCGATTGCGGTAGGTACAAGGCAATGAAGGCCACCGCGTCGCCCAGCATGTTTTCTTGTTTGCAGTGCAAGTTGTTATCAGTGTATGTGTACCCGTTTGACGGTACACGCCACGTCCTCCACGGCGCAAATGAAGTCGACCGTTTGAAACCTCTTGCGATTGGTGGAAAAACGGAGCAGCCCTACTCTCGTCGAATTTTCTTCCAATCGAGGTTCGATCCACAGGGATGCGCACCCCGTAGAGGCTCTTCTCTACTCACAGGCTTTCAGTCCAGGGAGAACGACAGAGACAAAGTCGCCGACACCGACGGAGGGAAGAAGCCGCCGCGCCGCTTAGATCGCAGTCTCCCTCGCCCAATATACACAACGCCTTCGATATGAGCGACAATAAAGAATACAAGCTGGTACGCTACTTGCGAAGAAGGTTGAAGGAGTGACCGCCGAGAGAGAGAGAGAGAGAGAGAGAGAAGCGACGCTCCATCCTTCCCTTCTTTTCTCTCCCTTCAAACCTGAGTTTTGATGAATTAACCTTGGATAATTATGTTGTAGGTGGTACTTGGTAGTGGTGGTGTGGGTAAATCTGCGCTGACCATCCGCCTCGTGACCGACAACTTCCTGGAGGACTATGACCCCACTATTGGTAAGCTACAGAGAATAACCTTCATCGTCATGCTGAGTCATAATAATTAGACTATAAGACTACAGATACTAACTTGAATTGCAATAATTCTTTTTTCATACAGAGGACAGCTACCGGAAGCAGACGACTATCGATAACAGTCCAGCGCTGCTGGATATTCTGGATACGGCCGGCCAGGAGGAGTACACATCCATGCAGGACCAGGTACGCTGTCGCTGCTACAGATGAAGATCGTATCGGGCGCTAATGCTCTCGTTGCAGTGGATGCGTGAGGGCAAAGGCTTCTTGCTGGTGTACAGCGTGACCAGTCGTAGCTCTTTCGACGACATTTCCGCCTTCAAAGACAAGATCTTGCGTGCCAAGGACGTCGATAACGTGCCAATTGTGCTGGTCGGTAACAAGTGCGACCTGGAGCCTCAGCGACAGGTGGCCGCTAATGAGGGCAAAGAGCTTGCCCGTCAGTGGGGCTGCTCCTTTATGGAGACCAGTGCCAAAGAGAGAGTACGTCTCCGCTATCAGGTCTTGTTCAGGCTATGTGTCGATCTAATGTCGCTGTATCTCGTCTTGTAGATATTGAATGAGGAGTGCTTCTATCAGGTGGTGCGTGAGATCAGGAAATCTGAGCGTCCTGTGCGTGTGGAGCGACCGCAACCCACGCAGAAGCCACAGAAGAAGTCCGGGTTCAAGTGCACCATCCTATAGAAGCGCGCGAGCCTTTCGCACGTTGCGTCGCGTCGTACGAGGCCTCCAGCTTCTATCGTCTCGTCACGACGTTTTGCTGCTTACATAACATCAGTCAGTTTAGCCCACTTCAGAATCCAATAAGCCACTCACCACTCTACCGCTCCATTCACTCAGTCACTTGTCTCGTGTCAGCCTGATATTAATCACCAACGAGCAGATCGGCTTCATTAAAGTTTCTTCAGAAGTGCCTGGTTTCATATACTGCGCTCATTCCTTCACAAATATAAGTAGTAGTAAGCTTACTAAAATACATAGCACTAGGTAACCTAGCGTTTGAACTCCGCATTAGTAGTACTACCCTACATGTAGTACCTGGGCTGTAAAATTAAAATGTTGGATTATTAAAAGTACTAGCTCAGGGTCGATAGATTAGCTATTATAATCCATTGGAACCAATATTTTTAAATGGTTTTAATTAAGGGCCACACTATGCAATACATGTTGAGACCTAGAATCGACGCCTATTAATAAAAACGCTTTTATTGCCTGCAAATTCCTAAAAACCTTAAAAGGCTCAATATTAATTATTAAATTTTATAATCATAATGTATTAATATAATAATTTAGTTTTTTTTTAGCAGGTAGAAAAACAGTATGTCAAGGAAAATAAGAAAGCTAGGTCAAAATCGAGTAAGGCAACACAATGAACGAGCGACAGCTTTCGTTTTTTGTGAATACCGGTACATGGCAAGTACGCTGTAACGTCAGGCTGCACCAGGCAATATAGTCAGTTGTTGAAGCAACCAAGGTTGGTTGTGAGCTATAATACGTAGTCAATTAGAATCAGGCGCCCATGAAGCATTAAAATCATGTACAGGTTGGTTGGACCAAGTTAGCAACTTGGTTTCTATGCTTACCAGGAGTGTTGTCGGGGGCTGCACAGCGAAACTATTCGTGTAGCGTCTGGCTATGCTAATAAAAAGCCACTTGAGCTAGCTGGTTGTGGTGTCGCTTCCACCATTGTAACGCGTACATACAAGCAAAAAAATAACACCAAGTCGAGTTTTGATCAGACGTGTCTGTGTCTGTGTCTATCTCTAAAATGCCCAAACGGTACTGATTTAGGCTAGGTGCAGCGCAAACGATTAATGTAAAATGCTGGATAAATAATGTTACCAAAAATTCAAATTGTTGTCTGATGATGTTAAAATGCGTGCTCACTCCAAGATGATAACGCTCTTAGTACACAAAAGAAAAACTCAATTAGCTTTTGTACTGCGCCACATGCTGCTCCGATTCTCGCCGCCCCACATACAACGGTCTGATCCCTGCTCCAACAGTGACTTTTACTGCTCAAGCTGCAGACTTGCAACTTGACACGTCCTTCTCGAACCACAACATTGACAAGACACTCCTCGAGGGTCTAGACCGACCCTTGGCAGCTGCCACCGAGCTTTCGGTGCTCTAACACCTCTCAGCTGCAGCAGGTATCTGAGTCGAATCTTGTCAAGAGTCCTGGTGAACGTCTTTCACCTTGGACAACTTCAACACGCCCCTTTCAATCTGCTCGGGCGCATAGTACCCCCGTACCTCAATGTCTCGGGGTTGCCGACTGTAGCTAGGATTTATAGCCATAATAAGAGCGACTTGACTATCAATTTCAATGCGTAGTTCAACCAGGCGCTTCAGAATGATTTCCTGAAGTATGTTACTTTCAGCTACCGCTTCCAAATCTGCCTTACATTAGGCGACATATTCAGGCTCAGCAGTAGAGAGCAACGATGTATTGTCGTCACGACATCCGTGAAATGGGCCCTCCAGTCAGCGCAAAATTCAAATTTGGTAATGCTTTTCCGTTTCAGCCCAGTCACTGTTATAAATACTTTCCAGCTTGATTGCCGTAGCTTCATCTTTCTGTCCTTTGTAAGTGATCCCGTAGTTTGTTGTGCGAACCATTCAACGTAGAACACGCTTTAGGGCACCTGCGTGCTTATTCGACGGCTTGGATACGAACCTGCCTAAAATGAGACTGGCATAATTGCTCTGACAAATTGTGCTGTTGTCGGGAGTCTGTTCAGCCTCAACTACTAAAATTGAGTCAAAAGTCCTTGGTCCTTAATTACGTATGCCGTATTCAGCTCTTTAAACAGTGCTATTTTGCTTCCTTCGTCATTCGTGGCAACCAAAATATCGTCCACGTAGATGGGCCCTAGCATGACTGTCTCCCCTTCGAACCGATAGTGCGAACACGGCTCTGTCAACGAGTGCTTGTAATCATGATCAAATAGCCATTTGTTCAGTTCTGAATTCCACTCTGGACCTGATTGTCGTAGCCCGGACAACGCATCACTACAGCGTACATGTGCCCATTAGCTTGGCATACTATGCCAGGCATAGGTATCCATCAATTGACTTCAAGTATTGTCGGATGCTAAGTGACGCGCTTAAGTATGTATATCTCTATCGTTAACCTGTAAGTTCAGCAATGCCTCCAAAGCTACCAGCTGTCAAAACGGCGACATCCGTGTCACTGGCGCAAAAGCTTACCTGAAATCAATTCCAGGTCTCTGATGCTACAATTTGACCTTTGAAACGAATTACGAAGCCCAGGTGGTCGGACCTCAGAGCATAGACCCTTTGTGTGTTGATAGGCTTTACATCCTCAGGAACCTTCTCATTAGGAATCTCCACAAGGACGCCTTAGGCTATGAGTGCAGCCATTTCCGCCATTTCGGACAACACTCATAAATCTGCATAGCTCGATCGTCTGGCTTCACACCGGTTTCTGGGTATTTTCACGTCACTATTAATAGCCCTAATAGGCCTGTCGTGCTTATCAAGTACTCGTGACGTTTTCTAAGTCGCGTTTACCACACAATCATCCAGGTACCGTGGTCGACGACGTTCATAAAACTCACGAAGACTTGTACGCGTGCGCTTGGCCTCTGTCTTTTCAGCACTACGTCCAGTCCTCAACTCCTCCAAAGAAGTCCCGCGACACCCCCGCTTTCAAACCGCTGGCATCCACCGTGTCTGCTTCAAGCTACATGCCGATATCCTGCTCACTACCGTCATTGGAAATGAAATACTACGCACCGACACTTTGTCGGCATTCCGAATCTTATCCACGTCTGGCTTGCTATCCACCCCCACGTTCAAATCCTCAGGCTCTGATTCGCACAGCACGGCGGTCGACTTATTTCCATCAAAACCTCCGTCCGCTGTGGTTCCCACTGGGCAGTCTGGCTGTATACCGGCTCACGAGTATCACTCGACTGAGACGATTGTCTCTTTGTTTCATCGCTTGATATTGCTGACACGGTTTCGCAGTCTTCATTCTACCAGCTGCCTGTATTCGAAATCGTTTTTACAGCATTGCCACTGTCACCTTGTCCAGCTATTGATGCATCATTATCCGCTGCACTTAGCTCAGTACCTGCCAGCTGCCATCACTCGCCTCTGCTCACATACTTCAGCGACACCATACCTCACACTCATCGCTTTGCTACCCTCATCCAGTACTTCACCCGTTCGACGTCTGCAAGTATCGCCAGTACTAGCAGCGACTACCGCACTATGGACTGTCTATTAAAAGTCATCTTTCGCCACGTAATTGTATTTCTCGAGGTCCTCAGTGTCCAGCACCAATGTCTCGTCAATGCTCAACTCGCTTGCAAAATAAGTTTCGCCTCCCATAAGCATGGTAGGCATTTCGTCATCTCTAGTTACCATGTTACTGCTACCTCCATTGGCCTGCTAGAAGTGCGGAGCTTCTAAGTCTGTATCTTCTTCGTCGACTGCGTGGTGATTTCGATACATAACATTTTCAGCCACTCTCAAGTCCGGAACAAACTTGACAGTCCTGTCCTCTGGAAAGAATTCTTTGCATCCAACCACGTCCTCTGCATAGCCTAGAGCGAATACCAGTCGTGTATTGTCGTGACGCTTTCGCCGTTCAGGTGGCACTGGTACATGTACGTATGCAAGCGAACCAAACTTGCGGATGTGATGTAGATCCGGTTTCAGACCAAACATCTTGCTGAGAAGGAGCACCCCAAAAAGGTTGACAGCTTGTAGGAGTTCGTATAGAAAACAAAATATCTGATGCGCTTTTTGAGTATTCTACCGTCGGTTTGCGGAGTAATTCTTTACACCGGCGACAAATACCAGTGTACCGTCGGACCCGTGGGTTTCAAAGTTCTTGCAGCAGGTGACGTCCTTGTAGCCGTCGTGGTTCTCCTTACAGCATCTCGCGGTTGGTACTTGCGTCGTTGGCACTTGACAGCCCAAAGACCGACAGTAGGCTTGCCCTCTTGCTCGGCCACGGGCTTAAGGTCTCATAACTCCGGCAAATCTTCGCTTCAACCACACAAACCACGAGGTTGTCCATTCCACGCGAGATAACCTGTCCAAAATTGTCACCTTTATAGAATTAGCACCAAAACAAAAAGCTATATCGATTTCATCACTTGTTTTGTCTTTATCTTTGTGAGACTCCCGAAAATCGCCACTTTCTCTACACAAATCCAAGAAACTGCCCATCCCACGCTAGAGATTCTGTCCGAAATCGCCACCTTCGCCACCGTAGTGTTTCATTTCGGAGCAACTTTGCCTCGTTTAGCCGCCTTGGCTATCGATGATCTTCCCTGCCACTTCTGACTGGCTGCAGTCACCATCGTGCTACGACCACTGCGCACACCTTCCACATCGCAGCGCTGGGCACTACAGGATGGAATACGATACTCTATTTTGCTCGTCTCATTTGGCTGTGGATGATCGAGGCACAACTCACGCGCGAAGGTCATTCATCGCGGTTTGCATTGTTTAATAATGGCGCCAAATTTGAATGTAGACAAAGAAAAAAAAAACGAGATGACCATCACTCTTTACAAACTTCTGCCTAAAGGATACTCTGGCGATGTAGCCACTACTATTACCGAAACTAACTTCTGAAAGTAATACACATTCAAGCAAATTCGGGGAGGCGATCTGTCGTTTGGTAAATCCATCAAATGAAATACAAGCACCAAGCTGCAGATCAGACCAGTGTCAGGTGCTAGGCCCACCGCATACCCAACCTAGAACAGGGTTGGCTGCTAAACCGTACAAACCCCGCTGTAGATCAGCAGACCATAAAATATTCTGTAATTAAACGTCGGATCTACTGTGGGGTTCTTGTGTATTTTTAGCTCGCGAAAAAAGAAACTTGCAAATTTCTAATAAATTGCTGAGAAGTGTAATGGAGTTGGTCGGTGAAATGAAAGCGGTCAGTGCAATGACATTGACTGAAATTTAATCAAACCGCGTATCATGCGCCAAACAAAATTGTGTCCAACCGCCCATGTCTAGCCACATGGGTTCATCCGAGATGGCAAGGACTAAATTTATAGCAAACACGTCCACTAAATGTTTGGTGCCCAGCCTTAAGCTTGCCGAAAACTCCAAGCGCTTAACCCCCCCCCCCCGGCTCGCTTTGATAAAGAAGACTTACGAGCCAACGGATTTTAATGGATGCTACCTTGAGGGAGACGCTGGTGATGAAGACTTTGAATATACCCAAGCAGAGACTTCTGATGATACCCCAAGGTCCCGGAAGTCAGGTTCCCAAAGACATTAATGCTATCTTGGCGTGACGAAGCCCGCGAAGGAGGAAATACCCAAAAAGAAGCCGAAAGAGTTTAGCTGTTGCAGTTTATCGAAAACAATAGCACAAAGGCTCTCTATAATTTAGCCACATCAAATCGTACAAGTGCTCCTAAATGAGTGACGATGTGTATTGAGCTATCTTGCTGCTTAAGCTAAAGCTCCGAATGCATTCTTAGCCAGCTTCAGCTGTACAAGTGTTAGCGTTGATCTGAACCCTATGATCTTTATCAAAGAGACCGAGATTCCTCGCGACAAATCTGCACCTTGGCCTATGTGGGTCAATTGCGTCGCTGTTCCACGCGTACTTGATCACGTCGCGACAGATGGCGTTGTGCAAATGGTGGTCGACAATAAGAACAGCTAAGACATCAAGAAGATTGTGCTGCTGGAAACAGCTGACAAGGTTTAGAGTAACCGTGCTAGCGTGCCGTCAAGGACCATGAGCTCAAAAGCGTTCGTAGCGTAGGTCAAGCGTGATTCATACAAGCCGTTGAATGCTCCGCTGGCACCAGCACCTCGACGAAAGCGGATCTACCGACAGGCGCCAGCCGCTGAGGCATGCTCTATTTTGGAGTTAGATAATATCTAGTATTGTTAGTAGTGATGCCCGTGTACTTACCCTTAAGCCCTGAACTTTTCTTAGAGTCCCTATGGAGGCCTGCAGGCCCCTAGATCGCGTATCATAAAGGCCTAAAGCGACCCAATCGAGTTCACCGCTGCCGATACTCGGTAGGTCCACTTTGGCGACACAGAGGGGCGACTTAATGAGATGAGTAGACAATAGCATCAGAAAGAGAAGACGCATTAGACGGCTGGGCTAATGCGTCTTCTCTTTCTGATGCTAGACGCAGGTTCTCGGATGACCAGCTTAGGTAACTTGATATTGCACGGCTCGATAATACTGGAATTCTGTCTGTGCCTTGTCTTCGAGATTGGCATCCCGCTTGTTGTTAGGAATACAACGTTGAGAGCGTCCATCACGGCCGCGTTTTCTGACATCATGTGCTTGTAGTGAATTGCCATAAAGCACTCAACATGATACCCTCTCCGACACCGTGTGCAAGCATATTTTACTCGGTTCTTGCCACCACGGATCGAGCAAAGAAGACACAGCAGCTTTCCTCGGCTTCGGGTAAGCATGTGCTGCGACTGATCACTACCGACGATGTCTTCAATGGGCTCTCGATGATTCACTCTGTGTCTGAGAGATTGCATATGCATGTGCTGAGCTGCCACAAGCAGATTGACTATCTCCTCCTTTGCTTCGCGTAAACTTTTGGGCGCCGATACTTCGACTTCACGATCATTGGCACCATCTGTAGCGGCGTGTCCATTGACAACAGCGATGATAACCTGGTACATGGCATACGCATTGTGGATTGCCACGTCCAGCAACCAAGTGAAAATGCTCATTTGCAGTCGTTTCTCCCTTCGCCGAGTAGGATTAGTGCTACGAAGTTGGTCAAATCGATCCACTGCATTCACGTACTTGCTGTACGCGCATACAATGACAGGTGCGCATACTTTCGATCGACAAAACACCCCCGTACCCGTCCATCTCTTTATAAATCCCGTGCCATTGCAACACATTTGTGCTTCACGTGACGAACCATCTAGCACATTTGATGAGGGTGTCGCTGTAAGATCATTTGCGTAAAACATCACGACTCGCTTGTCTCGA